CGAATATTGTGATTCTAGGAAAGGTGCCCTACTTAAAGTGGAGGAGGGGGAGTTCTTCTATAGGAACATTGGAAGCTTGATGTGTTGCAGAATCCTAGGTCGGCCAGTTACCAACGCATTTTGCCTGCATTCGATTGTCCACGTTTCTCTCAGTCCGCAGGAGCAACTCTTCCTTGGGTGAAAGGGGTAACCGCCTAATTTCTGCGAACTACTTTAAGAACTTTTCATTTCGAACAAAATCCCGGCATATAGAGGACGAGTTTCCACTATATTCTATTGCACTATATTGAAGCATTATATATTGAACTTTACCGATTGTCACTTCTCCAGGTGGCAGGAAATGAACGATAACGTCAGTCAAAGCTGGATCCTCGTTGAGGTTCCACAAATGTGGGATTTCTTTGCGCTGTTTCTGAATCGCCAGACGCTCGGCAGATGTGCTTTGAAGCTGAAATATTATTAAGATTACTTCAAGGCTCATGGAATGAAATATCTGGGTCTTTCATGAGTTGTGGGAAAATAATTACCTTGATTTCTATGATGCGAATTCACTATTACTTGACCATTTTCCCAGGCAACCTTGTGCTTAGATACCGTATTTGTTTTACAAAGCTGACTTACTTTAGGCTACGAGCATAATACCATGCTTAGCAATTTACAACCGACCTGGATCATATGACGGTCTTTTTCTCCCGAAACTATCAAAGGCAGTCCCCTTGATCTGTCGAGGGCGATGCGCTTTTAATTACGTACTTGAACCCACTGGTGAAAGGAGCATTAAGGGAAAATCCCAGCCACACCCCCGAGGGGTCGTCCACCAGGAGACGTTCAACGATGCCACCAAAACCGCACCGCCTTGGTCAGCCAACGTGATCACTGCTTCTGAACAGGGACATTCCCATCTTCGCTCTGCCATGGCCGGGGGCTGTAGTGGTCTGCTCACCTTGGCGGCTTCCTCAGCGACTTTTTCTTGCCATGTCTTCTCCAATTCAGCCATCTCTTTCTGGTTTTGTTCAAGTTGACGTCGAAGAGACTCAACTTCCTCCTAAATAATTCCAGTTATTTTCAAAATTATTGGAATTTTTTGAACTGACTCGAATGCTAAGATTTGAAAATGGAGCCCATGCTAATTCCAATGAAAACTTTCACTTTGTTCTACGCAGAAACGTGCCTATTTTTCAAGAGGTTCACTGAGTGATGGGAGGAAGAGGGGAGATTGTGCAGAAGAGAGAAAGGAGAACACTTGAAAACGTCAGCGACTCACGCTGGTTCCACCACCACCTCCTTTGAGCTCCTTCTGCAGACGTTCGTTTTCTTCTCTTAACTCGCGCAGCAAGCGTTCCGTCTGATTTTCGTTCACCACCGCGTTCGTCTTAATTGCTTTTGCTCGATCGGCAAACCTGCGAAGGTGAAAACTTCCATAGACTGCTTTAGTTTGAATTTATGAATATTGGGCAATTTGAGCTGGTTTTTATCGTATTTAGTTGTTTCCTTCATCCTGCGACTTTTCATTAATTTTATTCTTCTAACTGCCGCTGGGTTGACTTTGAGTTGGTCTATGATTTCCTACTGCTAATACCTGAAATTGGCTTAGTACGATATTTTAATGAACCCTCCCCCTCCTTCCTCCAAAGTACCTGATATGTAGTAATGGCACGACCAAGCCAAGTGCAGAAATGGTGTGGTGGAAAATGGCACTGCTCACAGCGCTTACGTTCTGGGGATCAAGTACCGAATCATTCGCCGTTCGAACTAACCCTGCCTCCCATCCTTCCGAAATTGTCTGATTTGCTGACTTTTACATCGGGTGTCCCCCGAAAATCTATTGTGTAGACAAAATCAAGTTCGCAATGGCGCCACGATTCTGTATGGAAGTAGGCATGGCTTATTCCAAGAAAGGATCGATCAACAATGAATGCTTCATGCCTTACGCTTCAATTTGATCGAGAGCAACCTGGGGGCTCATGAAAGTCCCATCATTCTGAGGGTTGAATCCTTTCAGATTGTATCCCTAAATTTGGTTCTCCTGTGCTAGTCCGATGTGAGAGAAAAAAAGCGAATAAATTCCCAGCCTCGCAGAACGTTTCATGAACCAAATACGCAATCAGGTGCAACTTCGCTCCCTCGAAGTCGACTACGTGGCGCATCCCAATGGATAAGTTGTTGTAGCGTTTTATGCTCCTCTACTTTATCGTAGACGGTTTTTAACCTGAAAGTATGCACAAACCTAAGTGTAGATAAGGTCTCATCGTAGTTGATATCTGCTGGCGATATGGCAGCGATCTAAAGATGTTAAAGTTACACAACGGAAAGCTGAAAATTCCAATGTGGTTCTTTTAGTGGCAGTTAGTAAACAACAAACAATGCTGCATAACATGCCCAATATTGGCTCACTTTCTTGGAGACTTTACAAAAGCAGAGAGCGAATGAATTTCGAATATGTAGCCTAAATTTATGGGTGATTTAAGCTTACATCAGTCGATTGTCAAACTCACATTCCTGACAAACCTCTAGGTGGCGCTGATTGTCAGCATTCCACCTTTCAAACATTACTTGGGCCACTGAAGGGATCTTCAATAGGATCTAGGATGCCTAATACCCACCCTCATAAACCTTGAATGTCCCTATAGGCTCCTGCCCTGACGTCATGGGTAAGGAAAATTGTGACGGTGAGTCTGGAATTCTTGAGACCTTTGGGTAATATGCGGCTTGGTCCCCAAATTTGCTGGGCAGTTCTTTCTGCAGCGCTAGCACTTGGTTGCGTTTGCCGCGGCGTGATACAAATCCGACCCGGCCGCTTTGTTCTATTCAGTCATTCAATACTTTGGTCGCTTATAGGCGCCCAGTAGAGAGATACTGCAGGGAGCGGTAACTTTACTGTGTTGGTCAATCTTTGATCGCATTGAGGCATCATAAGCGATCAGTGGTTCCCAGATATCGTCGCTTTTGTACGAGGATAACAAAGAATAAATAGAAAGAAAACTAGACACATAAATTAATCTAACATGAAATGACATACCATAATAGTTTTGCTATTTCCGCCGAGGGCGTTCTTCAAGAGACATGTAAGCACGGAGTCGCGATAGGGAATCTTAATCGTCAAAGATAAAGTTTCAGAGCTTTGTTGAATTTCGGAGGTAATTGGAAAAACTCAAGAGAGAAAGAAGAGAAAAGTCCAGCGGTATCATTATCGAGAAGGAAGAATAAGGAGGGATTAGGTTCGATTCCCGTTCTTTTTTTTTGCCGGATTGAAAAAATGCAGTCAAAACGATGAGTGGGCGGAGCAATTTAGATGACATCATTGGACATTACTGAAGGATCAGTCCACTGATTGTGAGCACACTAGGGGGAGGGGGTTGGGACGGCTCCCCAACGTTCTTCCATATGACGTCGAAGACGTCATTAAAGTCGCTTTGACGTCCAGCTTTGTGTTCAAAGTCGTAAGGCGGGTACTGAATAGTGAAATAAAGGGGATTCAGAAGCAACAAACTCACTTGAATTTTCTTTCCTTTACTGCTTTGCTGTTCATGAAGTGCTTTGATCACTCGACCGAGAGTGGACAGAGACTGGTTGATGACAATGCCTTCCTTCATTCGATCCCCCTCTGTGCCAGCATCTCGCTGACGTTCGCTAAAAGTGTTATAGTAAGCAAATGGTGGTTATAGTGACTGAGTTGTTTACTCTATTGCCGTCCAATTTTTTCAAAAACCATAAATTTTTCTAATTTGGACATTCCACTCGACATAAAGTCCAGTCTAAGCCTATCACAAAATACGACTTTTAAAAGGTCACAACCCTCACTCTCTGTCCGTGTGTGAAGCCGCAACCAAGGCAGAAGTCGTGTGAACGTTTCCCTTCAGTCTGTGGGAAAGAACCCGAGGGTACAATCACAGGTGTGGCACTCTCGTAGATAGAAATCCCGGCAACGGCGCTAGCGCTCCGCAAAAGTGCAGCAGCTGCAGTGTTCTCCATCCACAAAAGGCGTTGTCTGGCACCTCTCATCTGCTATGCTCTCTCGCCTCACACTCTCCTCACTGCGCTCGCTCTCTAACTGCCCTCACACAGCCGCATTGCCAAGGCGAGCAAGTCCTTAATCCAGGCGTCTCGCGTTTCCCTTTTCCTTTACTGACGTTATCGGTATATCCCTATTCACCGCACCACCTCATCTCAGGGCATGCCTTTGAGTTAATTATTTGCATGACTTGAGCCGTGAAAATTCTGAAAAATTTTCTTACACAAATGACCATACCCAGCCATATGATACTGGGACAAGCCGTTGCCAATAATTCGTCCTACAAGCAGGGATCACGTTAGCCAGAAGGCGGAGCGGTTTTGATGACGTCATTTTGCGTCATTGGTGGAAAAGCGTCGCAGACGATTACAGCCACACCCCCAGCCCGCTAAGGAGCCTTACTTTACCAAGAACGTCCAGCGATTCAAAACGCTGCGCCTCCAACCGTCGTGTTCACTGCTTTTCACGAACCTTCCGGCAAGATCCACGAGGTTTATTTCGGACTTCTTTGTCGTCGTTCCACCGCCAGATTTTGATGATTTCTGCACGAAGAGTAGTTTCACAATGGTGTGCGCCCTGAATGAGAGCAATTAGTGACATCCTTCTCTTCACCATCGCGTCTGATGGTTGAAGGTTCCACAATGGTGCTATAGTTTTATCTCGCTCTACCCAATACTCTTCGCTCAGCAGGTGATGACATATGGATTTTCTAAGAAAGTCATGTGTTAGATAAAAAGTGTGATCCTGTGTGCTTGACAAATGCATAGCGCATAGTGCATATCAAACAGATCTGTGAATGCCAACACATCTGCTAACTCTCCTCACCGACTGCTCGTCGCGTTCATGTTAGTGGCGGCAATCGTTCGATTCTTGGTGCCTTGTTCGATTTTGGCCTCGATCTCTTTGTACGAGTTCACCGGTGCACTTGAAAGGTTTTCGACTGAAAATAATCTAAATGAAATTGAAGACTACCAGGAAGAGAGTAGCGCTATTTTCTGGGGTTTTCAAGTGATTTTAAGGGCTGTTCAAGAAATCGGGTGGAGGCGAGTAGTGGCAAATGGCGCTATTCTCCATGCGCATGTAGAGGGCAAAGCTCTGATCGAATTGAAATTTGACCGAGCTATTCATTTTCCTGGGTCGGTCAGTTGGTTCCAGATTTGTCTGGAAAGACAAATGCTGACTTATGCATAGCCCCGCAAGTCTTTTATGGGTCAGACCGCTCTCAAATGCTACTGCGAAACTGAATGGAAGTGAACGTACGGCGCACCTCTCATTAGGGATTGATTACCTCCGGAGCCCCTATCATATTTTTTTACCAGTTTTGTCCCCCGGCAGCCAATTTCCCTGTGTACGCTCCATGGCTTCCATGGTGTTCACTTACACTTGTGAGTGACTTAGAGTGGATCCGTATGCGCAATTGGTGTCCCATAGTGGAAGCTATTGTCGTAATCCTGACATCGCCTTAGAATGAAACTTCAGCACTGATTTGAAACTTATTATGGCAGTGATTAAGTTCTTTCCCACCCACCCCCTTCCCATCTTCGCTTCTCTTCTCGTTCTCTTCGATTCGCGACACCAATTGTATAACAGTTGAAATGATTTCTCTTAATCATGGCATCATGTCAATGTTATCTCAGCAATGGCTTGGACCTCAGGTTGGTGGCGATTTTTTCCTCTTTCATTCACTTCACCTCACTACGTGCACTAACGGCTTATGCGGATTGGCAATGATGTACTAGTTTACCACCGCATGAACGGAACCGCATGAACCTTAATGCAATACTTTCCCTACCGGGCAAACGGTTACACGCCCTTGGCCGCGTTCATAGTTCGCGACCGGAGGTTAGGATAGTACGCGGCAATGAGAGCGATAGCTATTTAGAGAGAAATCTGGACAGTAGTAGATCAGGAGTGGAGTAGGACATTCCATTGAAAATATTAAATACGTACTTGTTGTTAGGATATTAGGATAGTAGTAGATTAGGATAGTGCGCTGACAAGATTAGATATGTATTGATCTATTCGCTTGAAGTCGCCCAATCTACTACTCTCCAGCGATTTCAATCGATACGCATCCAATCTTGTCAGCGCAATCTCCTTACTCTCCCATTTTCCTAACGCCTACTATCTAGCCTTTCGAGTCGCGAACTATGAACGCGCGAACCCATTAAATTTTGTTGGCTAAGGTGGATGAGGCGTTACTGGTCATTCATTGCTGAATTCCACGAAACTAAACTCATCAATTATCAATTTCTTACCATAGAATCCACTTTTCGGATGTTCTCGTAGTTTAAGTCCTCCTTTCGGTGGCTCTTTATTCGACAGCAGATCTCGAATCTTAAAAAGTCACTTGCGAATCAGGAATTTGGCTCTGAGACACTTTAAGTTGTCCACTTACCTTTTCACAATAGATTTCAAACATGGAAATGAAGACTTCGTACGAGCCGGCTTTTTTACCATTTTCCTTTTTTGCCTCGATATCTTTGAATAGTTCTTCGCAGAACGTCGGCACAATTCCTTGAAACAGCTGACAAGTCAATAGGTATAATTCAGCGAATTGACTTACAATATTGAAATTTGAGCAAAAAGTGGGTTGAATTTATAAATTTTTATTATGAAGTGGGTCCTAAGGCTATGAGGTAAAATCTGCTGGCTGACATCACTTCTTCTTCAGCTGAATTGTCGTATAATTAGAG